AGTCCATGTTTCTGTGCCTATACGCAAGGGAGAAAAATCCTTCATTTCCCACAATGCCACCTGACTGACCTTCAAAACATGCACGGTCTTGTTCCAGTCACTCATGTTATCGCAGATGGCGGCAAAAAAAGGCAAAGCAAGCCATGAGACCTGCCGGAACAAGCAGTGAGATCATATTTGTACAATATTGTTATTTATACACTGAAACAAACCATGCTCTTAATGAAAACATGTGTGATGTGTTGCAACAACAGCCATTTCTATTTAATTATTACCTAATCTGTCACAGTCTGTCAGTTTAACTTGTCTTACAACATTTTCAAGTGTTTGTTTGGTTGTTATTTTTCTTTTATTACAAAACACAACCAACTTAACCAAACAACAAACAACGATAACAACTTGTGGTAGTCCGCATAGTGATTTGGCACACGCCGAGTTTTACTCCGGATTAGCTTCCTGACGCAACCTAACCTACGGTTTAGGGACTAGGTGGTACCAAACCTAGCCCCTTCTGGTGGCAGTCACAGGGTCTGAACCACTCTCGAGCCTTATTTTTTTCCTTCTTAGACAGAAAATCAAATTAAGAGTTAAATGTCCTCCATTTGACATCATTCATAGTGGATGTCTCATTCCAGTGTGACCCTAACCAGCTCTCTTTCATAAAGGTCTAAGTTCACTCTACTGTACCAAACAGGGGTTTCCCCTCTGTGACCCGTCTACTTCCACATTGGTTCAAAACAGCCAAAGTGATTGAACCTAGAACGATCCAGTCGCACTGGACTCAACTTGACTGGGACCAGATGGTGACAAACGGAGCTCTCTCGTCCTCTCCATGTTACTATCACAGTTCCTCTACACGTGATGCCACAGTGCAACTCTGAACTACAGTATCTGGACGAGGTTGAGAGGACACGTACGTCAGAGACAACTGTCCACAGTCTGTTAAAGCAGAAGTGTCTCTGTCTGTTCTGAGACACAAAGTCTGGCTAAATGTGTGACTGGAATAAAGTGTCCACTAAGGCAAGCACAGACAAGCTCCTGTTGTTAGGTGAATATAAAAGGCAGGGGTTCCAATAGAACTGCTGTTGGTGTAAAAGTCCAGAGAAAACACAATATTCTTCTGGTGAATTTCTCCTAAAGCAGCGCCTGCGCTCTGATGAACTGACATCTTATAGGAATCAGACGGGAGAAGCATTCCAGCTTTTAGTGAGGCAGTCTCAGGCCGTACCTTATCGCCGACTGTTTGTAGTCAGTTACTCACAACTATCTCTGTTCTTCCTTCCCTCTTGTCTATCTTTGACAGTACACAGACTACTGTAGGCTGCCAGAGATAAGAGTCTCACACTGAAACATACAGACTCTACTCTAAACTTTCCCCTTCCTTCTATTAGACTGCTTGTGTCCAAGGGCTTCAATGAAAATGTCTCTTACAGTATGACAAAAAGGATGTAGTTAACGATAGACCTTGGTCATGACTTAAGGCAGCGCTGCTCTGCAGACTGACAGTGTTGTATACTGTTTCAGCAACAGTATACGTCAACGACCAGGCACTGGTCACTAACATCTAAGGATGTGTCTTTGTCACTGCACCACAGCAGGGAGGGGCCGTCAAGTGTCTGAAATCAGAACTGAATTCACCTTCCTCCACCGTATGGTGTTGTTTTTTGCGGGGGTTTATTGTTTTCCTTTTTAGAGGTAACGTTAGACTCTTCGGCAACAACAAAAACACAACACACGGTGAACTTTCCTCTGTCTACCTCCATCCAGCCACCGTTGGCGGCCCTGAGTTAATGAGGGGAAATGCAAAACCAGGGAAGCTGAGCCTTTGAGGCCAAAGCCTCCCACATATAATGGCCCGCTGATGAAAGGGCAGCTTTGTCCACTGCAACACAAGCAGGTTCCTCTCTATTGACTTCGTACACTTGCCAATCACTTTCAATGCCACCGGGCAATACCATCACAACTCCTCAGGACGTCCTGACCATGTGTGCCGGAGGCTTGTGTTTCTCACTCTCTTCCCCAAAACAAAAAACACAGACTGTGATTTTGTGCAGCAGGAAACAGTTCAGGGTTGATGACAGGGTCACTCGCGGTTTCAGATGATTGTGGAGACAGTAGAAACAAAGCTAAGGACTAGTCACAGGGCAGAGGGTGTCCCTGTCACATTATAATACAATGAAAACAGCGTGTTTGAGAAACAGCCCCAGACTTTAAACACTGTATTTAAAGCTTCCGTGTCTTTAACTTTTGACGGTTCCTGTTGCTGCGGACGCCATTGCGTTCGCTTTGTTTGGTCTACAACATGGACAGAAATGATTTATTCTTTTTCTGAATGCTGCGGCAATTACTAAAAATTAGGACTGAGGGGTCATTGTAGTTATTCAGTGGAGGTAAGCTGTAAAATGGTTAAATGTCTATCCATTTTTAAATAAAAACCCACTTTTAAAACATTTTCGTTGGCACTTTGGAAGATGTTTTTTAGGCACTGCCTTATGTTTACTATTTCAGAATCAGAAACGTTGAGAATCCGAAACGATCAGTGGAAAGGATGTAATGCTGCTGCTTCACTGTAAACGAACACAGACTGATGCCTAAACTGAGCATCTACCACAACAATTACACAAAAATCTAAAGAGTAGCATTATGCTAACTTCCTCTGTTTCCCTGAGAAGTGCACTTCTGTTTTATTGCCCTGGCTTCTGTCCAAACGAAGAGTACTGTATCATAAAACCATGTTTTATTTCAATCCAGGAAACCTTAACATATCCATGGAATCTCCACACAAATACATGGATTTGCTTTGGCTTCTTTTAAGTCTTCCCATCTGAAGCCTCAGACTTTCAGGTGGTAGTGTGGCTAAGAGCTCCCAAAACAGACGCAGACTGCTTTGATACACACTGCGGTCAGACTTTTTTCCCCTCTTAGAAATAGCGCGCACACACACATACACAGGCCTGTGGGGTGTCAGATGTCGACAAGGACCAGTTGCTGGAGTCTCAGTCTTGGCTACTTCTCATGCTACAGCAGCTGTGTCTCCTCAGACTCCGGCGGGGCAGAGCCCCTTCACTCTCATCACCTGTGCTGATCTGAGGGCACGGTGGGCTCTGAAGAGAGCTGGCCACTTTCAAAAAGCAGACGGTGCTCCATTAAACCATTAAAGCATGTATTACTAATAACATACAACACATATCAACACGTGTGTTAGGGACACATACTGTGAGGGTCCACAAGAAGTGGTGCCCTACACAGCACAGCCTTCAGCTACATCGTGCTGCCCTCAGTCACCTCTGATCATTCTCATAAACACTACTAGAATACACAGAGAATCAGCAAATCCAAATAGGTGCAGAGGTGATAAGGTTCACTACATGCATAATCTTGCAAAAACCAGTGTGAGGTTTGTTTGAAATCTGAGTTATCAGCTAGACTCGGTGTAAAACAAAAATCCATCAAAGCGCACTGAAGCCAGAGGAAGTCCTGAGGAGTTGCTGAGATGCACACGAGCCTGTGATTCAGCAGCTTCCTCACCCCATTAGACCTCTCTCTGTGTACAGTTATGGCTGCTCCACAGACTGCGCTGCTTTGACTGCAATATTCAAAAGGCACAGTGTTGACTGACCTCCACTGAATAATACATGCAAACATTTCTGCATTTAACATTTAACCAGCACATCCTGTGAAAAGGACACTGATAATGTTTTGTTGGGTTGTCCTTGAAACGCTAAATAAAATATTTTTTTTAAAAACACGTCATTGTTACAGTTTATTTGATTTATCCCACTGTTTGATCTGTTGAATGTGTGACTGTTACTTTAACTCTTCCATTAGTGTGACGAAAGACATCTTCCTAGTGTGCATGCCAAATCTGCTGCATAGAGACGATTTTTAATGAAACATGAAATGAGCATCAAAGTAAAGAGCCAATCAAAAGAGTCAATCAGTGGTTCAGAAAAGAGAGAGGGGGGGGGCACAGCACTTATTCAATGTATCAATTAGGAATACAAGAATAATTTCCAGAACAATTTACATTAATATCATTATCATTTCGTCATTGCTGATAATTTAAGCATTCTACACATAAAACGAGGTTTTAGTCAATTAGACAATGAATAATTGACTTGTTTTTGAATTTAGTCATTACTCTCTCAGTGTTTTAGGTGAGGTGATTTTATTTGTCATCCTAAAAATAAAAACCCATCAGGAGGATGTCTCTGTTACATCTATGTCAGTTAGGAACAGGAGGACATTGAACACTGAACAAACTGCTTCTCATCATTGATAAGTTAAACGCTGTCCTTCCCCTCAGTGACACACTGCTGAGACAGCAGAGGTCAGCCTCACAAAGACCTACTCAGCTCTGCCGTCATAAATTCAAAAAATAAAGACCTTTTTTTCTGATTTTATTGCTAAACACCACCTCTTCCTATTTGCGTTTTTGTAATTACATTTGTACATGAACATGTACCGTTATGATAAGAAACATTTGGATTGGTCTAACCCATTGGCCCAATATATTTGTGTGTTTATTATTATTATTGTTTTTGTCCGATGCTGCTGTTGAAACAGTTGAATTTCCATCACTGGTTTATGGAGTATCTTTCTTCGTATGCAGCAGTACCCATCGTGGAAGTATGTGATACATGAAGGATGTGTTAAATAAATTCCGACATGACATTGTGAAGCCATGT